CTTAATTAATTCCTTGGCTATGAAGGGTCTTTCTTTAAGCTTTCTTGTTTTCTTGATTTCTTCTAGGGGGATTCTTGGAGCTCTTTGGGGGGTGGTGGGCGTTATTTTTGTGGGGGGGTTCTAGGTTCCCTCTAGGTTCCCTATTTATATATCTAAGAGTCTTATTTAGGATCTAATCCTTTTAGGACTAGGGGTTGGGTTTAGAGATGCGGGCCCACGGACCATGGTGGGCTTTTTCCTAATTAATTTCTGTAATTTAATTCTTTCTTTTGCGTAATTGATTAAATGATTAATTAGTTTTAGTGGCCGTAACACGAGGTGTTACAGTTATGGGCTCCATCTTTTGCCTCTTCCCGGTCTCCCGGGAATCCACTATGGCGACCGGGCAATTACTCCTCGGTCGGGAAGCGTCTTCCAATCCACCAAAAATGACGTGGATGGTCGGCTTTCCTGATGGTCGGCTGCTAGACGGAGGGTCAGGGTCCCGTCGGTCATCGCGACGATCGTCTCTTCGGTCCTGACTTGACCGATCAGAGCGTCCATCATGATCAGAGCGATCGGAGCGGTGATGGGAACGTCGGTAATCTCTCCGATCGGTATTCCTCTTGGTGTCCTCTCTCTTCCCCACACACTTGTCCAATTTCCCAAGATTGAGCAAATCTTCCAACAGTTGGCGCAAGTGGGTACACTCCTCAGTGTCATGCCCGACACATCGATGGTAAGCGCAATGCTTAGTCTTGTCAGGGTCGTCTCGATTGGGATGGGGGAGTTTGATGAGATTACAGGACTGAGCGTACTGCATGGCTTCCGCCGCGGATCGGTTCAAGGCCGTAAACTCACCAGGCCTGGTGCGGGATCGGGGATGGTTATCACCCGATCGGTGTTCCGCCCGGCCGGCCGGTTTACGGGACGAAGACACGACCTCCTGCGAGCGCTTCACGGCATTCGCCTCGCCGGCGTTGGCATAATCTGTGACCCTTCGAAGGGCCTCCTCATATGTGGCCGGGGGGTGCAGAATGAAATCTTGGTACAAATAACCCGCCCGGAGGGAGATGTGAAGCATGTGGGTGGCGGTCGCATCATCCATAGGCTCGACCTCCCCGACCGCCGCCTTCCATTTGACAAGGAAGTCGGTCAAGCTCTCCCCTTCAAGCTGCTTGGCCTTCTCCAGGTACATATAGGACTTCTTCACCACCTTGGAGGTGATGAATTTCCTCACGAACTTGATCGCCAAGGCATCAAAATTGTCGATCGAGCCCGGCTGCAACGTTCGGAACCATTCCGCCGCTCGACCGGTAAGCGTGGAATAAAAAGCCCTACACATTACGGCGTCTGATACGCCCTTCAGCATCATATTACCGTAGAATTCATTGACATGGACCACAGGGTCCGTACGGCCATCGTAACTTTTCTCCTCGGAGACCTTTAAGTCAAGCGGGTAAGGCTGAGCCATCACTGCCGCTGTAAAAGGCGTCCGGAGTAGGGTTGATTGGTCGACCGGGGGTGCTGCAGGGTGCGCGTTTCTGAATTGCGCAAACTCCGCCTGGAGGTTGTAGAGCAATCCTCGGGTCTCGTTGAGCTCGGCGGCTTGGGCAGCTTGGGCTGCGTCCCGAGCGCGTCGTCGTCGATGAGATCTCGACCCGCTATGCCCGGATGAAGCCTCCTGCTGGCTTCCTGCATCTGTACGTCTTCCGGCTGGCGGTTCGGGTCTTGGGGCCCCAAACGCTGCCGCATCTCCGGTCGAAGACCATCAAAAGCTACCGCTCGGGCAACTTCTTCGGGGTCCTCCACTTGGGTGGGAACCTTGGCTGCTTGCTGGGCCTGTCGTGGTGCCTCCATCGCATCAGCACCCCCCGACCCCAACCGCGAACGAGCCGAGCGTCGAGCCCGGGAAGCGGGCTGATGCTGCGGCTCTACTTGTGCGGCCGGGTAAACTGGAGGGGCGGCGACTGGAGCTGTGTACGCAGGCGTGTATGGTGGATAGTCAACCGGGGGCGTGTAATACATCGGTTGGCCAGGCCAATACCCGTACGACTGAGGTGGGACCGGGTATGGATACTGGCCGGGATACATCATCGGCTGTTATGGATATGGCTGACCGAGTGTTGGGTACCCCGGTTGAATGTAGTTCACCGGCTGTTGGGCGGCCGGGTATGTGTTGGATGAATGTGGTGGTGAGAGATTGAGGTTGAGGTCCATCGTCTGACCTTGTTGTTGTGTTTCCTGGTGGTCGGATGAGCTTGCTGCATCCGCCTGGTCGTCGGCAAAGAGGTTTTGTGCCCACGGATACATTGTTGATGAAGGGGCGGGTGCTCGTCAAGACGTTTACTTTCTTGCACGGATCCCCACAGACGGCGCCAAAATGATACTGCTAATTACTACGTAAGCAATAACTAACCAAACTCGAGACCAATTAAAGCAAGTAAATATCTTTATTGATCACGGTGAAGGCCCTAAGTACAATCTACTTGGTTGCTCTGAGTACCGACTGATTGCGGTCGGGATTCTCTAACAACAACCTATCGATCGTCCAAAAGTCCCTCACACTGTAGCTACTGTGGGTATTTATAGCCGCTGCGCCGGAGACACAAATCCGGTCGTTCGGCATGCTCTCCACGTAGCCACCACGTGTCATCCTCCCGGGTGCCCTGTCTGTCGTCGCAAGGAGCCGCCACGTGTCCTTTGTCAGCTCTCTCGCCAAAGGGCCACCGCTCGGTGGTCGACACTGCCGCTCGGGCAACTCCCGGTCGGGTCACAAGAAGCCCGACCTGTTACTTGCAAAAACAAGAAGGAAAGGACGAAGGCATACCGGTCGGGGTAAAGCTATGTCGGTCGAGATATTCCCTACCAATTTAATTTGGTTAGGATTCCCTTTAATTAATTAATATGGTCCACCATGGACCATGTACCCTTATCCCTAAACCAAGCTCTTAGTCCTATAAGGAATAGAATTAGTAAACTCATACCATTCAGACCCTAATTAGGACTCCTATATATATATATATATATATAAGGACATAGGAGGCACCTAGAAGTCACACCACAATAGATATCACCACACAAGAATTCCCAAGGAACTCCTCACCACCAAGCCTAGGGAGATCAAACGGATGGAAATCTTAGGGAAGAACCTTAATAGTCAAGGGAGGATTAATTAAGGCTAAGAGGTAACCATGTCTCAACAAAACCTATTTTCCTTGCTATATTCTCCTTCTTTGGCTCCCTCTATATGCTTGTGTCTTGATGAATTCCTTTATGATATTCGTGATATAATCTTGTTGATTGATGTGATGCTTTTATGTGTGATCTTGATGATCTTGATGTTAAAAAGAGGTTCTTGATATTTATGTGATGATTCTTGATGATAAAGATAAAATATGATTTTGATGATAAGGAGGGGATTAGAGCCCTAGGTTGGGTTGGGAATTTGTATTATGATGTTCTTGATTTATACTTGGGCGGGAATTCGCATGTTCAGGCGTTATTTATGTTTAGAAGTCATGTTAGGTTGTGTTCGATATGATTCTTGCTTTTGATCCTTTAATTGCCTACGTGGTGTCGTTATTTACGTTTAAAAGTGTCTAAGCATGGTTTCGGGTTCCACAAGGGATCCCTGGACACGTATTTGATGAAAGAGTCAGTGGGGGGTAGGGGTACCCGGCACCTACCCGCTGCCCGAGAATCACCGCCAGGCAGCGGGCAGCCGGCGGGCAGACGTCTGCCCGCCGGCCACCCGCTGCCCGGAAGACCATCGCCGGCGGGCAGCCGACGGGTGACCCCCACCCACCGGCTACCCGCTGGTCTACAACCCACCCCGGGTCCTCGGCTTCCCCGTTTGATGTTCCCCATTCCCCGTGGTGTCTCAATGGACCCCGTTTGTCGTGCTTGAGTCTAGTTTGATGTTTCGGGTGTCATTCGTAGGATAAAAGACTCTTAGGAATTGCATGCTAGTGAATCGGTAACCCGTTGGCATAGGAGAAGAATGCATGAACCCCTTAGGACTACTCTTAGTATGTGAATGATCACACGTAAGTTTATTTATACGTCTCTCCCTTCCCAATGTGCTATTATGTGCTACAATGTGTTATGTGATGCATGATTCCCCAATTTGGTTGCGATCAAATTGGGTGTTCCTGAGCTGCGGTACAGAAGTTGGCTGCGGTCAAATTGGTTACTTATGAGCTGCGGTTCATTTTCCTGGCTGCGGTCAAATTGGTTACTTATGTTGTGGAATAAGGTGGACACGGTTCCGAAACTCTCATAATTGTATATAGAGTTCAAAAATTATGAACATAGAGTTCTATAATTATGAACATAGAGTTTTGTAATTGTGAATATAGAGTTCAATAATCATTGCTGGAAATTATGGAATTTTCGACCACCTGAAAGTGATCTTAAATCAAGTCGAAAGCCTTGTTCCGACCACTTTTGGTATCCGGAAAAATCTTTGTTGCTATTTTCGACCACTTTTTTGCTTTCGACTTGATTTAAGATCACTTTCAGGTGGTCGGAAATTCCATAATTTTCAGCAGTGAATTGTGAATATGAAGTTCAAAAATTATGAACCTTTTATAATTATGAACATAGAGTTAGTTCTGTAATTGTGAATATAGAGTTCAATAATTGTGAATATGAAGTTAAAAAATTATGATCATAGAGTTTTATAATTATGAGCATAGAGTTCAGTAATTATGAACATAGAACCATAGGTGGACACGGTTCCACGGCATAACAATTGCAAAGGGTTGAGTCCATTAAGTCTAACTTGTTAAACATGATCCAAGAAGTTGAGGAGCAATTGTTATACCATGCACCAAAATTTACCTTACCTTGTCGATCATAGTCTAAAAATTATGTTTCTGTAATTAACACATTATGTGCATATAATAATTAAAGATACATAATTTATTAATTAAAAACACAAAATATGTTAATTGCTAACTCACAATATTTAAAAAATTGAATATAATTGTCACAAGGTATAAAAGTATGGGCATTTCGACCAATAAGCCTTAGTTCAAAGGTGTTTCATTTTGTATAATCAAATTAAATGATACATTAGGATTAATTCATGAAAGGTAAAATAACATTCTTCTTCCCATTTTGTTGTACGTTAAGGGGACAAAGAAGGAAGATTATGTTGAGCTAATTAAGATGATTTGTTGAATAGATAAAACCATAACCATTGCATATTTGCATGGTAGGAGAAGATATATGTTTGGTTTAAACTCTGTACTTGCAAAGGCTTTCAAACCCCATATTTTGATGGTGTTCAATCTTCTTTGTCATGTTTGAGATTCCAACTCCACCTGTATGATTAATCAAATTTCATTTATTAAAAAAAATAAATAAAAAATAAATAAAAAGAAGAAGAAATCACATGGTAATGTAATAAAGATTTAATTTTCAAAATGGTCCTCCGACTATGGCCTTTTCTCAAATTGATCCCTTAACTTTTAATTTCTTCAAATTAATCCTTTACCTTTTGAATTTTAAGCTAAAATGGTCCTCCTTTAGCTTTGGTGTGAAGTTGGTGTTAAAATGAAGGGTAAAACTGAAACTTTAAGTTTTGCACTCCAATTTAAAACAATCTGTGATTCATTTCAGCAGTCTGCGTACATATTTTTTCAAATTAGGTTTTTGCTCTCCAAAATCTGTAATCATAATGTGGGATAATCAACTAGAAGGCAAAAAAAGTTCATCTTCAACTTCATCCATAAAATTTCCAAGGCAAAGATTTCTAGCCTTCTAGTTGATTATCCCACATTTTGATTGTAGATTTAGGAGAGCAAAAACATAATTTGAAGAAATATGTGCACAGACTGCTAAAAGGAATCATAGATTGCTTTAAATTAGAGTGCAAAACTTAAATTTCCAATTTTACCTCTCATTTTAACACCAACTTAACGCCAAAACTAACGGAAGACCATTTTAACATAAAATTCAAAAGTCGGATGACCATTTTAGAAATTAACTCTGTAATAAATAATGATTGAGAAAATGAAAAATCATAAAATTAAATTGCTCATAATCATCACCTAATGAGATTGCACTTATGAAAATGATGAAGGCCAAGGTGAAGATGATTAACGATGCTCTCCCTAACGCCGCAATCACCCTCCTCACTACGTGTTGCCCAACAAAAGCAGCAACAGTTGCCACGGCAGTTAAACACACAGCTGTAATGTAATACGTACATGAATTAAGTGAGTAATATAATTAAAAACTTTAATTAATTTTAGATGCATGCAAAAAGACATTAAAGGTCGGTTTGAAAACCGGAAAATATTTTTTAAAAAATGATTTATTTTTTTTTTGAAAATATTTTAAATTTTTGGTGTTTGGATGAAAGTTAATTTTTATTATTTTTTATTTTTTTATGTTGAGTTGAAATTCAAGAAATTACATTTTTTATTTGGTTCGTTTTTCTGAAAATAACAAAATATTTGTAACAACAACAATAAAAATAAGTGGTGGTGGAGGAGGAGGAGGTGGTGGTGGTAGTAGTAGTCGTGATGGTGGTGGTGATGGTGGAGGATGGAGGAGGTGTTGGTGGTGGTGAAGGTGATGGTTGTCGTCGTGGTGGTGGAGGTGGTGATAGTGTGGTGGTGGTAATAATTATGCAGAAACTAGCTTGAAGAGAGATGATAAATAAGATAAAGATTGGAAAATAAAAAATTCAAAAATATATTCAGACTAAAAATTTATGATCGAAGACATTTTTTTACCAAATTAAGTCATTTTGTTGACAAAAGTATTTTCCTTTAACTTTAATTTTTTTTGAATAACATTAGAAAATTCGAAAAATGAGTCTTGAAAGAGTAAAAGTCATTTTTCCAAATAGACGTTAGTGTAATTTTGAGGTGGGTAGAGAGGGAGCATACCATAAGGAACTGGGAAACGCTTGAGAAGGTAGTATTCTACAACCGCAATTGATGATGTGAACATCATTACAAAGGTAGATGTTGCAGTTGAAACCTATACAAAAGGATCGGAATAAATTAAACATTTAAGACATATATGGGAGATTGGGAGGTGATGATTCTGTCTCTTCAAACATCATGTGTATTTGTTCGATCTCCTATAAAGAAAATGACCAAGAATATAATAAAGCAAATATATATATATATATATATATATATATATATATATATATATATATATATATATAGGTTCAAATGCGGCATAACTTTCTCGGTATGTCTCGCGCAACTTTCTTGTGCAGTTGTGCAGACATATTAGAATCGTAGGATTAGCTCATATCAGATTGATGGAAATCAATGAAGAGGAGAAAAATGCAGGACAATTTTGTAATTTAATCAATCATGTATATTTCGGTGGTGCATTAAGTGTTGGTATATGATGCAATTATGAGTGTTCTATAGTGCATTACGTGATGATCTGTGGTTCACCACCCCAAGTAAGTAATTTTTTGTGTATAGTGTAAGTAATTTTTACACCATATATATTTCGATGGTGCTCTAGGTGCTAATGTGTGGTGTATCTATAAGTGTTCTATGGGTTCAATAGACCTGTTGAGTACTATCGTTGGACCAACGGGTCTATTGAACTCGCTAATAGGTCTATTGAACCCGTCGACAGGTTTGACACCCTCGTTTAGTGGTGCAATACTAAGTGCACAACAGATCAAATGCACCATGTATCATTCGAAAGTGCATCATAGAGCATGTTTCAGTGCACCATACACTAGCACATATTGCACCACTGAAATATACATGATGCAAGAAATTACGAAATTACCACCGCGTATTTTCTCTTCTTCATTAATTTTCATCTGTTTGATCTCAGCTCATCCTAGAGTTCTAATATGTCCGCATGCATGATCGCACGGGAGAGAAGCACTGCACCAGAGCATGCACGCACACACGCACATACACACATATGGGTGTATGTGTGCGCGCGTGTGTGTGTGTGAACAAGAAGATATAGAAGAGGAAAATTTCTATTTGCATCAAAATTTGCATTCATATAAATGTAGGGGTGTGAATATGTGTCATCTCAACCTACAAAAAGCTAAAATTTTCATAAGTAGGTCAAGTTTAATTTTATACACACACACATTGACCTCAATAGTCGTTGACAGTTGATTACTTGAGGTCAACCAAAACAACAGTCATTGGCGCATGTTGACCACGCCCGTGTTAGGTTTCTCCAAAGAGAGCTATATCTCCGAAGAAACTCAATCTCCTTAAATTTTCTTTTCTCCTTCCACCTCTCTACCCCCTCCCCCCTCGCACCCCTTTTTTTATTTTGGAGGAGAAAGAAATAACTGCATTAAAATATGGCCTCAGCTCGAATTACATCAGAAATAAAATGGTGCCGGAGGGGGGGGGGGGGGGGGGGGTACACCATCCCACACCCTACAACCAGCGTTGAAGACGACGTCCCTAGCAAGTAAATGGGCAACCGATCACCTCTTCTCCACTCAACCTCCTTAAACTTTCTTTCCTGCAATCCTTCTCCTATCCCTCCCCCTTCTCCCTTTTTTAGCGACGGGAGATTACAATGACTAGTATCATCACAGAATTTTAGGCACCTGACCTGTAAATTTAAAATTGTTCCATGTCTAAAGTCAAGGATTGAACCCTTGTTAAGGATGAATGACGAGTCCCTTACACTCAACTATACCCCCGGTTTTTAAGCATAGGAGATGCTCTAACTCTTTAATATGAGTTTACTTGCCTAGTTTGTATACCGATGTAGTCGTGTGTCATTAATCTGTATGTTTTGTGCATGACCGAATGTAGTCGTGTGCCATAACTTGTATGTCGTGTGCATAAGTTTGTTAATTAATAGAGCATGAGTTCAAAACCTGATGTTTACATGTATGCTAGTGTGCTATTGTGTATTAAATTGTGTGCACGATACTAATTTGTTGTGTGCTCATTATCCGTTCGCACAGTCCTTTATATATTACTGTCCTCATGTGAACGCAACCTTTATATATATATATATATATATATATATATATATATATATATATATATATATATATATATATATATATATATATATATATATATATATAGAAGAGCGCTCATATGTGGTCATGTCATTAGGTGTGGCGGTGTAGTCGTATCTGTGTAGTTGAATCAGTTTAATGTAACGATAGTGGCTAATTCTAAGGATTTTCACGCGTGGGGGTGTTATGGTAATTGCAGTGGCCATTTATAGCGGTCGGGTTCCAGAATACACCAACAATGTTGACAACATGCACCAAAAGTGTAATAAAACACACCACAATGAAACACATCAATAGTGTATTTCCGAACACTGTATGGTGTATTTATTTATATCTAATGGCGTGTTTTGGTGATGAGTACCTAATTTGTGTATGTTTTTTATTGTGCATTTCATAACATGGATTGTGTATATTTGTATAACAATTGGTGCGGCCGCACTGACCACACGGGAAGGCGTTGCCGCACCTGAACTTGGCACCAATGGGAATATACAAATACACTAGAGTAAGGCTAATAATGCACCAATTACACAAATAAAACACACAACAATGTGATTTTCCCTATTCCGGTGCCTTATGACGAGTTTACCCTTGCAACTCGCTGGGTAGGAGAATGTGCGCGAAAATACTGGAAGAATCTTGATTAATGTGATTCATTGGATCTATCTAATCTAATGGCCTGTAATTGACCATATGACCACACCTAACAACAACATGGCCACATGTGATCACTCATATATATATATATATATATATATATATATATATATATATATATATATATATATATATATATATATATATATATATATATATATATATAGATTTAAGATATATCATATGAGAACACATGCTTAGGTGAGAACGTGAGAACAAATCGTGTGCATCTATCTAATATTTTTTAATGGTCTAGATTAGATTAAATGTGTGCGATCACGCATTAAATGTGTGCAAATGCAATTAAGTGTGTTTGCACACATTTAATGTGCGTTTGCACATACTTAATCTAATCTATACCATTAAAAAATATTAGATGGATGCACATGATGTGTTCTCATGTTCTCACCTAAGCACATCTTCTCAGTGGAACCCCACCCCATATATATATATATATATATATATATATATATATATAATGGGGTATAGCATACTAGCATATCTATAGGTGATAGCAATATATATAGCATAAAGTGGGAAAGTGAGCGACCTCAGGAGGGACACCGAGCTCGAGGAAAAGAGGACCCATGATGAAGCCACCACCAAGACCAAGCAGTGCTCCAACAGTACCAGCCACCAATCCAAAGAAGCAGAAAACAATGAGCTGCCCTGCTCGCAATTTGGAGCTTGAATCTCCACTCTTCGATGATATCTTTCTCCACCCTTTGTACAGCCCAAACGCTTCAAATGAACTCACCCCTAAACAAACTGGGATCTGCACCACATCAACAAATATATAATACATTCTCGCATCCTCTTATCTTATAGTAAATCAGTGTAAGTTACTTATAACTGACTGGCTCAAACCAAGGAGGCAAAAATTCGAACTCGTGAGTTTATAGTTACAAGCGTGAATCTTTTGCCATCTTGATTAGGTTTAGCCATCTTTTGCCGGGCTGACCACCAAACAACATTCATACCTGCAACAGATTCACCCCCCAGTACACAGTTGAGCAAGTTGTTGTGTAGTTCTGTATGTTACCAAAAACACAAGTTAATTAAGAAAAGTGACAATTTTCAGTGGCAACTAAGTAATCTCAAGGCTAACGTTTAATTTAAGGGACAAATTAAAACGACGCACCTTGCTGATCTGCAGACCAAGGCATACAACCCAAACAAAAAAGATAAGCCCAAACTCCTTCCAGTAAACATTCTCAAGAACAGACACCTAAAACCAAAATATACATTATTAGGCTTCAAAACCCAAAAAATAAAACAAAAAATCAAGGGGAATTATTAGCTTTCCAATACAACATACTATACTATACATACCCAATCGTTATACCATGCACCCTACCAAAACGACGTCGTTTTTATTGTTCAGATTTTATGTGTATTATGTTAAGAGTTTATGTGTATTCTGTTAAGAGATTATGTGTATTATGTTATGAGTTTATGTGAATTATGTATTATGTTAGATTATGGCTATATTTGCCAAATCTAGCTGAATTGCCTGAAAAGATAGCTAAAAGTTAAAAAGTAACTGAAAGCTAAAAAACTATAAGCTAGAAGCTGAAAACTGAAGAGTTGTTAATTAAGCTAACTGTTATGCTTGAAAGTGTTTGGTAAAATTAACTGTTTGATAGAATGATAGCTGATAAATGTAAAAAGACTAAAAAGGACATCTTCATAAAATTTAAATTAGATTGTTTACATATTAACATTTTGTCTTAAAAAAAATAACATTTTGAAATAAAACTATTAGCATAATCACGATCTAGCATCCCATAACATCTCCATCAGATTCATCATATATATATATATATATATATATATATATATATATATATATATATATGAGTTTATATAAATTCGAAACAGAGATTTTTTTTTTTGAATTTAACAATAGAAACGAAAAGCAAAATTTCTAAAAAAAAGTCATGATCAAATGACATTGTTTTGACCAAGACGCAAGATGCATTATGCGCCCTAGTGCACGATATAATTTGCCATACATACCTTAGCCCTCTTCTGAATGCTAGAGCTGGGACCACCAGGAAAAGTTCCTCCTTCTCCACCAATTCCTCCTGATACATTATTGAAACATCCAAACATATAACCTTTTTCGTTTTACACGAGGAAGCTAGATTGTTCACCATCACGGGACAACTCACTTTAATTTGAACGAGATTCCAACCCGGTTACATTATGGGTTCGATCTCAGCTAGCCCCTATTTTAGACCCGGACCGTGTTCAATCATTATTGTGTAGACTATGGTCTAAATAATTGTGTGGATCATAAATAAAATGTATATTATGTGTGTACATAAAGTATATTATTTGAGTACGAAAATGATATTATTTTGTGTATTATTAAATAATGTACATTCAGTACAAAAATAATGTATTTTTAGTATATTAAAAATGTACAATGTATCCAAGAAAAGTACATTATTTGAGTACAAATAGTACATTATTTTGTATCACCGCTGAAAATTATGGAATTTCCGACCACCTGAAAGTAATCTTAAATTAAGTCGAAAGCTTTGTTCCGACCACCTGAAAGTAATCTTAAATTAAGTCGAAAGCTTTGTTCCGACCACTTTTGGTATCCGAAAAAACTTTTGTTGCTATTTCCGACCACTTCTTGCTTTCAACTTGATTTAAGATCACTTTCAGGTGGTCGGAAATTCTATAATTTCCAGCCGTGTATAATTGACATTCAGTACACAATGTATTTTTAGTATATTAAAAATGTATTTTTATGATCAATACAGCACTCTATGGACCATGATCCACATAATAATTTGCTGTGTTGGCTTTTTCCCATCCTCTTGGAAGAATAAATGTTATAATCAATCTTGAAGAAAGAAGCAAAAAAAGCTAGTTTGGTTCAGCACTAAGAAGAGATATAGATAGGTAACTCACCATTTGCTAACCTTTGCACAGCCTCCTAAACCCATCCAAAAACACAGTGTCATAGTGATGATCAGAAAACATAAACCCAAAAGATACATCGAAATTTGTGTAAGACCGTCACAAAGATCCTTATCTGTTAGACGGATCAGGTCAAGATGTAATGTCATATTTATACTAACAAATGTAAAAATAAAATATTTATTACTTATATGAGATACTTTAAAAAAATATATAATATTTTTACATTTTGATGAAAAAGTATTACATTTTTATTTATGAGTGCAATATTACTTATAAGGAAAAATATAATATTTTTTGATGAAAAAAACAATACTTTTACATCAAAATATAAAAGTAATACATTTGTCATAAAAATATTACATTTTCTCTTATAAGTATCAAACATTTTATTTATGATTTAGTATTACATTTGTTAATATAAATATTACATCTGTATATTGACGCAGTCTGATCCAACCCATCTCACAAATAAAGATCTGTGAGACAACGGTTTCACAAAAATGTGACCTAATAAGATATGATGATGAAATAAAGAAATCGACAGCTGGTAGAAGAGAATATATAATGATGAGAACCTTTTTCAGCATAGTCTCTTTCTTCCAGGACGCGACACCTCTGAAGAAAGCCATAGTTGATAAGCCTTTAAAAAAAACCAGGTAGGTAGAATCAGAAGATTAATATTGTTGGGTAGAAGCCGATAAGGTTAAATTTAGTATTCGGTGGTTGAGAAATTGTTAAATATTGACTAATAAAAGGTAAAAAGGCCAATTTTAACATTCGATCAGTACTGTCTCAAAAATGTGTGACGGTATAATAAAAAAAAAATTTCTTTCGTTACTAACTATAACTTTTAGTATGAGTGATAAACGCCTGATCTAACAAGTGGTATCAAGCTGCCCGCAAAATATATGCATTTCAACACTACTTGAACTCTAATACATAGACGGCTAATGTAATGTAACTTACCTAAGAAGAGAATAATTAGCAGAACAGTGACCATCCAGTCAGCCAAAATGACATTGAAAGAAACGCCAATACTAATCCCAAGCATTAGCATTGGTTGGATGAGCACAGCCAAGTCATAATCAATAATTGGCATCTCCAGTGTAGGATGCCTTAGCCTAAGATTACAGTAAACAGTAGAAACCGCAGCTCCTGTGATCATACACTTTGAAATTGCAGTTGCAGATTTGGGGTCAAATCTTAGAATAAGAGTAAGCATGGGCACAAATATGCCGCCCCCTCCAACACCCCCAACGCTCCCAAATGCTGCCCCCAAGAATCCTATTATGCTGCCCACCACAATTTTCCATCCAAATTTCAGTTCCTGTAGTAAAACATCAAGAATCAGTGTCTTAGTGTTAGAATCAAGGGCTAATTATTACGCTAAAAGCTATAGTTGGTTGAATACGTAACTTGATTTTCTTATACTTCCATCACATTTTCAAGAGTTAGGATGTTGAATTTGTCGTTTACCGGTCTCTGTTCAATAATACATGGTGCTGGACTTGAATTGGCCTTTTACTGATCTTTGCCCAACAATTCCTTAGCTATATGGTGTTGGGCTTGGCACTTTACTGGCTTTCGCCCAACATCCCCTAGCTACATAGTGTTGGACTTGACCTTTTATCGGTCTCCGTTCAACAATCCGCTAGTCACATCGTGCTGAATTTGGCCCTTTACTGACCTTTACCCAACAATTCTTTAGCTACATGGTGTTGGACTTGACATTTTACTGACTTCCGCCCAACATTCCCTAGCCACATAGTGTTGGACTTGACCCTTTATGGGTCTCCTTCCAACAATCCCCTAGTCATATGGTGCTGGACATGACCCTTTACTGGTCTTCACCCAACAATCCCTTAACCCATGGTGCTGGACTTGATCCTTAGTCGACTTTCACCCAACAATCACCTAGTAACATGGTGTGTTGGACTTGCTCTTTACAGGTCTCCGCGGCCCAACAAATTCCCTAATCACATGATACTGGACTTGGTTCTTTGCTGGCCTCCACCCAACAATCCCATAGTCACATGATGCTGGACTTGGCCCTTTATCGACATCTACCCAACAATCTCCTAAACCTATTATGCTGAACTTGACCCTTTACCAGTCTCCACCTTAACCACATGTGCCGGACTTGGCCTTTACTGGCCTCCGCTCAACACTTACCTTCCTGTCTGAAAGATAACAATTTCGGGCCACTTGATGTAGCAGGAGGGGATTCGAGAAGGGAGAGTATATATGAAATAGAAAAAGCAGTGTTTTAGTTCCAATACGTACCGGCCAAACGTGACTGTGACGGTGACCGGAATCTTTAGTCTCCCTCATGAGAAACTTTGAGAGGAGGTGATGATGGGCATCTGAATTATTGGCATCGCTAAGTTTGATGCTTTGTAGAGCTGCTTCCTTCTTCAAACTCCCACTTTCCTCATCAGCTAAAACCAAAACTAATGAAGCTAAGAGAAAACTCCACCAAATACACATCACTGCCCTCACAAACCTCCATTTTCCTCCCGTCATTCAAGCACCTACAGATCAGATTAATTACCTAAAACAACCAAAGTCCTATAAAAAAGATATAAAAAAGAAAAATATTCTTGCGCGTACACACTGTTTATATAGGAAACAAGAACATATATTGAACTAACATCAGTTAAAGCAGCAAGTGATAGCGACAGTATTGAGAGTTTTATCATTTAATAATACTCAAAACTATGTCATTAATAATTTTTTTTTTTTTTTTTTTTAATGGCAGCATTAGAATTTCATGCATGCCAAACCAATCTTCCAATGAATTAATATGAAGTATATATGTTCTGTTGGTAACTCCAGTTAAATTTGTCTCGCTATTGAGTTGGTAATCACAATATTACAACTTTAACTTTAACTGGAACAATATATTAGGGTGTGTTTGGTTGGTGGGTTTTGCCTATAGGAATGGGTATGAAAGTGAATGTTGTTGTTTGGTTAATAGGTTTTTATAACACTACTATGGGTTTCGAATACCCCATCAATTGAAAAACACATACCCAAATACAATAAGGGTTTCATTCCCTTATTCATTCTTAACCACTGCTATTAGTAACCATTCACATTCCACCCTACTACCAAACATGTTAAATACTTTCACCAAAACTCATTACCATTACCAAGTATTTGATACCCATTCCGATTCCGATTCCTATGTGCGAACCAAACACACCCTTAGTCTTCTTAGTTTGAGCCAATCAGCAATGCACAACCTATGTTGATTTACCTCCTTGTAGTCTTTTATGGCCTAAAGTCACATTGCAAGGCTGAGTGAGTTCATACTCTCCAATAGTGAGGGCAAGTTCCCCACATCATTCAATAAAGTGTATTCTACCACTCAAATTATAATACTCGAATAATTGAAGGATGTGTTTCGTTCCTCATCAGAGAGACATTTGATTCATGAAATTGCAATTCCTCTTTCTTCTAATTTGTACTGTTCTCTTCCTTTTTATTAGTGTTCTCTACCTTTTTATTAGTAGTGTGTTATTTACAATTGGGTTACTGTTGGTAGTATAGATGACAACGTCGTGCAATGAGATTGTGGTGTAGGAAGTTGTGGATTTTTCTTATTGTGTATATGACTAGATCTTAGTTGTATTATGAACTCTTGATCTTGCAGTCTGTTGATGTTTTGCAATTTTTTTCCCTACATGTATTCAAATTAACTACTCCCTCTGTTCCATTTTATCTGTCTTACTATTCATTAGTCAAACCGTCTCTTTCTTCTTTGTTTATTTTCTTTAGTATTTTTTACTTATTTTTAAATTTGACTTTTAATGAGTTCCGAAATATATAAATTTTGTATACTAATACTAAACTTAATATTATGAAAAATTGAATTAAAAATAACTCTAATCAAATCTCGTTAACCGAACCAGACACATAAAATGAGACGAAAAGAATATAATACTAATAATGTGAGTGATTTAATGACATATAGAGTCCTCTGAGTATATATTTTTTCACATTCACTTTTTCAACTTTCAAAATTTAACTAAATATGGTCCTTCGATTTTTTAAAATACACGTTGCACTATCACGAGCTTTACATTGCATAATAGGCAGACTTGACACTTGGTCTGTGATGAACGTCACTATACACGTTGCACTATTACGAGCTGTACATTGCATAATACGCAGACTTGACACTTGGTCTGTGATGAATGTCACTATACACGTTGCATTATTACGAGCTGTACATTGCATAATACGCAGACTTGACACTTGGTCTGTGATGAACGATACTATACGTTGTAGGAATAAAGGTAAAGAGGGATTTAAGGGAGCGTTATAAGAATAAGGGTAAAGACGAATTTAAAAGAGACAAAGATGATTAATTCTATATATACAATGTATATACCGATATATATACATACTACATTCACGACTACACAAGCATATATACATAGAAATATTGTATAATGATGGAATAATTACTAATGGACTCCGAGCGAACCAAACCTGATCAAAATCCGGTCGGGCAAACCCCGAGGCCAAGCAAACCACAAGGTGGTCTCCAACCTCGGGGTCGGTCACCTTGGGGTCTTCCACCCCGGGGTCGGCCTACCTAGGGTCGGCTACCCCGGGGTCGGCCTCCTTGGGGTTGGTTACCCCTTGGCCGAGCCCCATGCTAGCCAAGGGGCGAGTCTTCGCGTTGTCCAGGTCGTGCGGCGGCTGTTGCGGTCCAAGGCAGTTGTGGGGACCTCCACTGAGTCTTCCGGGGTTGTTGTGATGACATAGTGTATAAAAACCCTCATTCTTGTCTTGTTCAGACATCTTTTACTTTCTGTCCAAACTTGTCTCGTTATTACATAAGTCCTACCTTTGTAATAACACTTTATATACGATTAATGCAATATTCGTCCCCGTGGCGTCTATTTATTCATTATTATCATTGTTACATTCTTTATTCGTTCAATCCTTACATGTCACGTTCATATTCATATATTCAAGTTATATAATTCAGCCCATCGGGTTCATATAATCCATCATCGGTGCTCTTGTTGAGAGCTGTTGTACAAGCTTAAGCGTGCTTTCTCTCTATTATTTGTCCTTAGCTATGACGAGATCAGGATCAAACATCCGTAACTCCCATGATTCGCGTAACCCCTCTCACGCTAACAAGCCCAATGGTGCAACGACAAGTTGGCAAACCTTACCCGTGATGTTGGATGGGGACCTCGGGGATCGGATCAACAACAACCGTCATGGCGGGTCGGCTCCACTCGCCCCACCTCAGGTCTCGGGTCTCCAAGAAGGGGTGGCCGCAATCCAGCAAGCCGCAACACTACTGACTCGCCTCGTGGAGGAGCTCCAAGGAGATGTCCAACCCCCTCCACTCGGCACCCGAGGCTTCTCAGGGGACCCCACTCCTCCTGATGAGGTGTGGCATGACCCCACGTTGCCAACCTCAATTCCATGAAGGGGGAGAGACCCAAGCTAGCCGTACTTTGGCTCATGGCCGACCTCAGCTTGATCAAACCCCTCTTTTTGTCGAGCACACATTGAGGGACTCGGCTTGTCTCGGTGTACAAACTCATGATTTCCGAGTTCACACCGGAGAACTCATCCTTCTCCTATCCTCCGAGAAGCCAAGCTCAAGGGACTTAGAGCGGCCCGAGCTAGGGCACCAAGAGACCAAGGAGCCCGAGCTCGGCCACCATGAGAATGAGGAGCCCAAGCTCGACTGCCACGACTATGAAGAGCTCGAGCTCGGCCACCAAGATACCAATGAACCCGAGCTCGGCCACCAAGAGACCAAGGAGACTGAGCTCGGCCACCATGAGAATGAGGAGCCCGAGCTCGGCCGCCACGACTACGAAGAGGCCGAGCTCGGCCACCAAGAGACCAAGGAGCCCAAGCTCGGCCACCGAGAGCATGAGCTCGGCCAACATGAGAATGAGGAGCCCGAGCTCGGTCGCCACGACTACGAAGAGCTTGAGCTCGACCACCAAGAGACCAAGGAGCCCGAGCTCGGCCACAAAGAAAAAAGAGCCCGAGCTCGACCACCGAGAACACGAGCTCGGCCACCATCAGAATGAGAAGCCTGAGCTCGGCCACTAAGAGACCAAGGAGCCCGAGCTCGGCCACTGAGAACACGAGCTCGGCCACCATGAGAATGAAGAGCCCAAGCTCGGCTGCCACGACTACGAAGAGCCCGAGCTCGACCACCAAGAGATCAAGGAGCCCGAGCTCGGGCCACCAAGAAACTAAGGAGCCCGAGCTCGGCCACCAAGAAACCAAGGATCCCGAGCTTGGCCACCGAGAGCATGAACTCGGCCACCAAGGGATCAACAGTCCATCCGCCCGACCTTGCAGGGGTTCATCCGACCTTGCAATGGTCAATCCGACCTTGCAAGGGTCCATCCGACCTTGCAAGGGTCCATCCGACCTTGCAGGGGTCCATCCGACCTTGTAGGGATCCATCCGACCTTGCAAGGGTCCATCCAACATTGCAATGATCCATCCGACTTTGCAATGGTCCATCCGACTTGGCAATCGTCCATCCGACCTTGTAAGGGTCCATCCGACCTTGCAATGAATGAACCATCAAATGGTTTAACATTGCGCCCAAAGTCGAGAGACTTCGACCTATAACCCTAGGGGAGATACCAGGTTCGACCTTGCCTATCGCCGAACGGAAGACTTTTTGGGTCTAAAGTCAAAGGACTTCGACCTAAAACTGCGAACTCCCTAGAGGCGATATGAGTTCCAACCTCGCCTATTGTCGAATAGAAGAGCTTTTTGGTCCAAAGTCAAAGGACTTCAGCCTGAAACCGCTAACGCCCTAGGGGCGATACGAGGTCCGACCTCGCCTATCGCCGAACAGAAGAGCTCTTAGGTCCAAACCTTCGTAGGAGTTTTTTACAAGAGGTTTGGGAGGATTCGGAGCCCTAGAAAAGCCCCAACTTTGAGCTCAAAGTCCGATTCGCTTTAGGAGCTCAAGCCGTTGTGTTTGTTTTCGGTTGGACCTCAAGCCTTAGAGCTTGTCCGAAGCGGAGCTCAAGCATTTGCGTTTATTGAGGTTGGACCTCAAGCCTTGGAGGTCATCCGGAGTGGTATCCAACTCTTTGCGTTGGACCTCAAGCCTTAGAGGTCATCCAAAGCGAGGTTCAAGTCTTTGTGTTTGTTTTTGGTTGGACCTCAAGCCTCAAAGCTCATCTGGAGTGGGGTCCAAGTTTGTGAGTTTGAGGTTGGACCTCAAGCCTTAGAGCTCGTCTGGAGCGGAGCTCAAGCATTTGCGTTTGTTGAGGGCGGACCTCAAGCCTTGGAGGTCATCCGGAGCGGTGTACAACTGTTTGTGTTGGACCTCACGCCTTAAGGTCATCCAAAGCGAGGCTCAAGTCTTTGCGTCTATTTGAGGTTGGACCTCAAGCCTTAGAACTCATTCCAAGGAGCTCATCTCAAAGAGCTCGAGGCATAGAACTCATCTCAAGGAGCTCAAGTTGACGGGCTCATCTCAAGGTGCTCAAGTTAAAGAGCTCATCGTGGAGAGATCAAGTTTTAAAGCTCACCCAAACGAGCTCAGGTTAAAGAGCTCATCACGAGGAACCCGAGTTGAAGAGCTCATCAAGGGGCTCAGGTTAAGG